CACTCGTTTCGTGGATCCCTACTCCGCCTCCTCGACACATCCCAATATGTGTCGAACAATATGAGGGTCGAGTATACGTCTCCACAATATGTAAAAAACAAACTTTTATCGACCACAACAAAGATCAAACATACATCTCCACATGGAATATATAAATATTAATGGAATAAAAAATTCAAAAACAACGACGAGCAAAAAATAAGCAAGCATTAGCAAACACATAAAGGCACTGAAGCAAAGTAAAGCATTTATAAAGGTCGACCATTAGAGCCGACAATGTCTGAATGTTACAAAAAATTACGGGCACGCAGGCCCAAATACAAATAGCTAAGTTATCCAAAAATTTCTAATCACTCCTCGGAATGCCCACTTCGACCTCGGGAGAGTCAGGAGGAGGAACGACCCGGTCGTCAATCACCTGGGACAGAACCCCAGTTCCTTCTGTGTTGAACCTCAAGTTCAACACAGACAGCTGGTTCACGGCAACCTCAAAAACTTTGGCCAAAGCATCAACGCAGTCCGACTCGAGGAGTTGAATATGTGCAAAGAAATTGGCCCGAGTGTGGAAATCAGTTACCTCCTCGGGTTCGCCCTCCACGTGCATCATGGCAGCCTTCAGGTCAACGAATTCCCTCTCCAGCCATTCCCTTTCGTTCTCCCACTGTTCTTTGTCTAGCAGGAGACAAACCTTTTCCTAGAGGGCTTATTCAGCTATCCTTTCTCCCCCGCCAGCATATCGGCCTGCTCCTGAAACATATCCTTGCTTCGTTCGAGGGCGGTCTTCAACTTCTATGTCTTATCCTGAAGAGTCACTTTCTCTGACTCCAGTTCCTTGATCCAACCAGAGGAGCTGGCCCCTTCGCCCGCAAGGACCACGGCCATTTCCGCCACCTTCATCATCCCGACCATATTGGAAGCCAGATGCTTCCTTCGAACCTCTTCGTCGAGTCGCCTGATGATGTCGAACTCATTTTCGGACACAGTCAGAGGAAAGCCCTACAAGAAATCCTTCTCCATGAAGCAGGGCGGTAGGCTGAAGGCTCGGGAAGTCGCCCCTCCCCCAGTACCATCGGCAAGCCCACCTTCTGGGCGACTCATTTTCTTGCTCAGCACAACAACTTGCTGATCAGCACCGCGGGTGCCCGACGACCCACTTGATCCCTCATTAACCAGTTTGTAAACTAAACCCATGTGTGTAGCCTGGTGCGGCTTTACCAACCTCTTATGGTTTTTTTTCTCTTGGGTCAGTTTCAACAATCTCTCGCGACGCTCCACCATATTACCTGCAAAAACAAAAAGGTATCCTCGGGTCAGCCTCGATGGGAAAACAAAAGAAGTCAATTCAAGAAGTAAAAATATAGAAAAATTAAGCGAGTAGAAACCTAAGAGACACACGGCTTCCCCGTAAGAACGATACTCGACGAGCGCCTTGGTGTTGATCGGGCACGCCTCGAACGTTGGATCACCATCTTCATCGAAGATGTCATTTCCTTCCCTTGTGACCCACCTGTCGTGAAAGAACTTTTCGGCGAACCGGATAAGGACGCCATATGCCTCTTAGTCCTCAACGCTCATGCTGCCGGCGGGAGTATGGTAATGCCCGGGACCATGATCGTAGTGGCCCGAACACCAATGGATGGGAAACTTCGAGATTCCCTCCATCTCCTGCTCACCATTCGTATCATAGCACAGTTCACCGTCTTCATCCACGACAGGAGACAGGTAAAACACGACATCTACAGTAGCCTGAGAAGTAGGTCGCACGACATACCATTTGTCTTTAAAGTCACAGACGGAGTCCATGTACATCCTGAACAGCCTCTTCGACTGTTTGAGGGAGACCCAGCTGTGTTTCCCACTCCGGCACTGCCATTGAAGATAAAAAACCCTGAAGAACAGGGGGATGGTCGCCCCGATCCTCAGGAACCGACAAGTAATCTCAAATGCCTGGATGAAGGCAATGGCATTGGGGTGAAGCTGAGAGGGTGCTAAGTTTAAGTGATTGAGCACCCCTATCTGGAAATCATTGAAGGGAAGGCAAAGTCCCAAGTCTCTGAAAACGACTTTATACATGGGGAAGCGGTCTTCCTCGAACTCTGAGCATATTCGAGCATTAGGCGTCGGTCACAAAATCGCGAAGTTCCTTTAGAAACCTTCCTGATTACCGCCATACTCGACGACAGTGTAAGCTTGCCTCCTGCTATGACTATATATTAAGGCTATTCCTTGAGGCTCTGTTCCGACCCAAGCCATTGCGGGATCGTCAATCGTGTCAACCAAGTTGACACCCTTCTCAGCTACACTGGTCTCTTCGATGTCCACATGCTCAGACGATTCAGAAGTGTTATCCATTTTACCTGTAAAGTAGAGGAAACCGGTAAATTCGACATCAAATCCAAATCCATCCTTCCGCGATGCAGGTGAAAGGGTTATGCGGCGCCCAAACTAAGTCGACAGTCACTCGTGCAGAATGGGTAATACTCGACCCTCGATCAGGGCACGATTATCATGCCAGTCTCATAAGACCACACAACGGCTATAATGAAAAATTCTCATTTCCATGAATACCCCGAGCACAGGAAGAATACAGCGAGCAAAGTACGAATTTGCCGGGCAAGCTCATGAATTTGTCGGGGATCGCATAAATTTCTTGCACAAAATTCATAAGTTTCGTGGGGATACATAAAGACTACAGGGTAAATTCATCTAAGTGTTGGGGAAAAGATGAATATCAAGGGCTCAATCACGAATAGTACACATAAATACATGAATTCCCCGAGTAGAACCCCTTAGTTGTGAAATTCTACAACTAAAACATCACCAAAGCCAATCTAAACAAAGAGTATCACGAAAAATACTTACTTGGACAAAAGTAGATGAAGAATAACGAAGGTAGAAGGAGAATACGCGGAGGATTCTGTGACGGTGTTGGCAGTGGAAGGAAACGGCACGACATTGGCGATAGGGAGAGTGAAGAGCGCGAGAGTGTAAAGGTGAATAATGGGCCTTGAGGAACTATATATAGAGCTAACATGGAATGCGAAACGTTGCTTTGGGCAGCTCAACAAACGCCTTTCTCCTCGACACCTATGCGCTCAGCTAATGATGACCTCTACTCCCTAGGCCATCATTACAATCCTAAAGGCCACGCCACGTGCCTACACCCTACAGGTTTCTCCTCCATGCGACTAGAATGCTCCCATCTCGAGTCCATTCCGAATGCTGCTCGGGTAAACCCATATATCGACAACTTTCTCCGCCAACACAATAACAGATCCTCTTCGAGTAGCACACCTCGTAAAAGAAAAAGCTGGACTTAAGTCATAACTCCTTCATTAGGAGCAACGACTTGGGGGGCTCCTGTTCTGGATTGGGCCTACCTTTGGTCCAACTCCATGCGAGACCCAACCCAATTATGTCGGTCAAGGCATACTGGCCGGTTCTACCCTCGACTTCATCGGGCAGCAACTTCCACTCTCCGCAAGGAGGCAACCTTACCGCACGAGGATAAACCCAGTCAGTCCTAGGAAGATCATCGTCGGTTAGGAGGACCTTGAGGTCACCCTCTGATCCTCTCCCCGACCAATATTGATCCCCTCACACGATCTCGCATCTGGCGGGGAGCATCCACGACGAGCAGAAGCACCTCACGAGCATCTCCTCGTAGAACTGACCATCAACGTCTCTGAATATCGCGGAGTCTTCGTGGCCCCAGAAAGACTGCATCCATATCCTCCTGATCTTGTGGAGGAAGTCATCCAGGTGGAGGACCACGTGCGGGTCCCCACTACTCACGTAGGACCTGACAGTCTCCACTTTAGACCTACTTGACCAGCCCAATGAGGAGACTTTGATCTAGTGTTGGGGGCTATAAATACCCTCTCTTTCGAGAGGGTTATGCATTGAACATCTCTTACTCTCTTACTTGCTTGCTCATTCTGAATTTCACTTTGACATCGGAATGTCTTGCAGGTACCCTCCACCTTACTCTCAAATTCTACTCGACGTAAGCTGTGACGGTCCATTCTAATTAGATACGATCATAAAGTATAACTCATCCTTAAAGATTTAAGTTGCAAGGTGAGGAGTGTCTCAATTTATAATTATACTTTCAAGTCTTATCTTGTCAAATGAGAAATTGTTAAAAATAACTAAATTTAAAACTACAAGGTCATGGCATTTTTTCCCATATGAAGACGAAATTCTTAAAAATAAGTAAATTTAAAACTATAAGGTCATGGGATTTTTTCCCATACGCAGACTTGACAATTCTGTGAATATTTTCAAATAAAAATGATCTAACTATTGGGCCATTTTGACTCTTATGTAATAAAAAAAGGCAAACACCCTCTAGACACAATCTATTCAAAACCTATCTAACATAATTTTGTGAGATTAGAATCCAATTGAATTGACTATTGAAAAAAATATCAAAAGTCTCACATTGATACAATAGAGTTTTAAAGCTATTTATAGATAATGTCACTCCTCATTTTACAATTCAGTTTTAAAAGATGTAATATGGTTTAAGAGTATATCAATCTGACTGTAGATCCTCAACCGTTAATATCCATACACCCTGTCTGGCATGAGGAGATGGATTGAAAAAATTCCAAAGTTCAACATTAATAAGGGATAGTTCTTACAAAGGATTTATATATTGTGATACCCTTCACTTTTCAAAGTTCAACATTTATAAAAGATAGTTCTTACAAAGAATTTATATATTGTGATACCCCTCACTTAACAACTGATTTTATAAGGATAAATTAGACCATATTCTAATAGTGACTCATATCAAATTTACTAGGTTGAAACCATGTGAATTTCAAACACACTTTTTATGTATGTGAACCAAATACATGTTCCCAAATAAAAATTAATTTTGATATTGATAATTAGATATATAAATAGTTAAGAAGGATATGGGTTAAACATGTAATTAGTTTTTTTAATTTTATAAATCTTCTTAACCTTACTCTCATTCATAAATTTTGCAGAATATCAACCTATGCCATCAGAGAACATAGAAAATCCAACTATGCCATCAGAGAACATAGAGAATCCAACTATCCCAACATCAACATCTGTTATGCCCCATACAGAGAACATACATGAACCAATTGGTCAAAATAATATAAATTTGGAAGTCAACATCAATGAAGCTGTAACAAAATTCTTATCTTGTTTAATCTTTTACTCATTATTTTTTGGTGTTTAGATTATTGAGCTAAACTTTTCTTTTACAGTCTGAAAATGACAAAGAGTCACCAGAAATTAACAAGGAAACGACTGAGCCTAATATTCAAGCTGTTGAACCACCAAAAGAGTCTGAACCTCCAAAAGATCCTATCTTAAACTGTCCAATATGCATGGATGCTTTTGTTGAGGAAATGTCAACCGTGTGTGGCCATATTTTTTGCAAGATTTGCATTAAAAAAGCCATATCAAGGCAAAAAAAATGCCCTACATGTAGAAAGAAGCTTACTTGTAGAGGGCTAAGAAGGGTGTTTCTTCCATCTTAAAGTTGAAGGTTTGATTCTATCTTATAAGTTAATAATGAATTTTATTAGGTATATATATATATATATATATATATATATATATATATATATATATATATATATATATATATATATATATATATATATATATATATATATATATATATATTCCATTCAATTTTTTTACTATTATACAATAGGATTCTTATTCACATATTATTATTAAGTAGGTGAAGTTCTATATCAATATAACATAACTTTTTATTACTATAATCTTATGTGGTTTCTGTTATACTATTCAACAGGATCATTCAAGTTGCGTTAAAGAAAACTGGGGCTTGATTGTACTATTTTTAACATTGTTGAGTGATTATGTTATTTAAAATATGTTTTTCGGAGACTATACTATTCTCAATTGTTGTCATGTACCATTTCTCGTCATTTCTTTTTAATGTCATTACTTTTGAATTTGTTTGGTACAAGTAAATGCTCAATAATTTATGCTAATACATCGTTACTCTTGAAACTCTAAGTTTAATTGCAATTTTAGTTCTTCTATTATTTTTATTTTTAGTTTAGATTCTTCTATTTTAAAAATTATGATTTTTGTCTCTTTTTTAAATTTTCTCTCTCCAATTTAAAACTTATTTTTAATAATAGCCTTTTCTTTGTAAAGTTGTCAATGCCAAGTCATTTTGAAAATTAATCCAATTTATTATATATATATATATATATATATATATATATATATATATATATATATATATATATATATATATATATATATATATATATATATATATATATATATATATATATATATATATATATATATATATATATATTTCAAGAACAAATAGATCTAAAAAAATAAAGGAATGTTTATGAACAGTCTTGTGAGAGAACGTGTGAATTAATAGCCTTTTCCTTTAGTCTTCAAGCATATATATAGCCAGTAAAATACTATATTCGTTGGAGGGTATTTCTGAAAATTCTAGAAAGCTGGCAGCTTGATTCTATGTGGGGGACAAGATCATACAACGCGTCCATTCTTTCATGGTGGTGGAGAAAAACGTTTGTTTGTACCATGTACTATTGTATCATGTAACTTTATCTTCTTATCTTCTTGTCTTCAGAGGCTTCTGATTGAGCATGAGTTAGAAGAAAGAAAATAATATTTGGGTCATCAGAACTTCAAGTCTTCAGAGTCTTCAGAACTTCGTCTTCAGAGTCTTCAGGACTTGGTCTTCAGAACCTTTTGTCTTCAGAAACATAAGTCTTCAGCATCTGGATTGTTCATCAGAACTTCTATCTTCAGGTCTTCAGAATTTGGTTTCTTTGACCGCGTATCAGAGTCCAAACTTCAGAGCCTTCTGAAGTTATTTGCTACTGTTCATCAGAACTTGTGTAACACAAAAGTGAAACTTGGTTTCTTCTAATGACTTGGCAACGCCTTTCATCAAAAGCAGAACCTGTTTGTTAAATATTAAAAATAACAAACATTAGAGTACCAAAATTATTCATACAAACATACTCGTTGTTATCATCAAAACTTAGAGATAAATTGCAGAACCAAATCTTGTTCTAACAATCTCCCCCTTTTTGATGATGACAAAACCATGTATTTTGATGACACAATTTTGTACATAATCAGAAAAAGTATAAAAAATAAGAAGGATAAGAAATACTTATCTTTTATATGAAACTTTCCCTGAATCTAAGACTTGGTAAAGATCGTATAATCTTATTATGAACTGGCTGGGTAAAATTACCCTGGTGGTAATAGATCAAATATTGAGATCTTGAGAGTCTTGTTTCTTGATGTCAATCATGCCAATTGAGATCTTGAATCCTCAGTGTCATGAAAAAACAGATTCCAAAGGAAGTTTGATTCCAAATTTCAATTCAGAGCCTGATTATGAAATTAACACTTCTAAGAGTCTGATTCCAAAAGTTAGACAAAACCTTGTTTAACACTTTCAGATCTTGATTCCAATCAGAGCTCATGATTTCTGACAAAGAAAATAATTCTAACAGAAACAAAAGTTTATCTTGGTTAGAATGTAAGCAGCTCCCCTTATTTCAAAGAAGTTTTTCATAGAATTTGATTGTTATAATAAAAATATTACTTCAGTTATTTACTCCCCCTTTTTGTCATAATCAAAAAGGTAATTATGTATGAAAAACATAAAACGGGAGAAATAAAAATAACAATGAAAAGAAAATAAGAAGTAAACAAAGCGAGACTTCAATTGAGCTCAAAATGAAATTATCAGATATAAAGAAGAAAAATAAAAGAAACAGACAAAAGCCTAAGATTCAGAGCAAAAGGAAAAAAAATCCTAATAGCCTAGGGTCCAAAAGAAGATGGTGTTGGAGCATATAGCTTTTCCAGAATCAACTGAAGCATGTTATGAACTAAATAATTAACAACCTTCTGTTGTGTCATATTTTCTCTAAAGACTTGTTGCTCTTCTCTGATTATACCAATTGCTTATTTCAGACGCATAATGGCAGGATCAGAAGATGAGACAACCATAGTCTCCTGCCTTTCCCTTTATGCATCTTCAGCCTCCTGATCCAATATGGCTACCTCAGCAGTTCTATCATTTTCCTCAGCTTTGAGCCTAACTTCTCCAACTTCTTTAAGCGCTCTGGCTTCAGCATCTCTTTGCTTTGCAACAAAGAGTTCGAAGACTCTAATTCTTTCTCTTGCTTCTCCTCTTTCAGTCACCATCTAAACTCGAGCAACTCTAGATGCTTCAGAAAAGTTCATCAGCCTCTCTAATTCAGAAGACATCAACTTCTGAAAAAGCTTCCAAGAATCATCCAGATCTTGAGACTTAGAACTTGTACTTGTTTCTTCTCGCAGCTTCGCAACCTTTTTCCTGGCCTTGTTTCTAAATATGTTAATGCATTCATCCAAGGTTTTGGGGACAATTTTTTCATAAACTATTAAGGCAAGTTCTGGTACAGAAGGGTTTGGTTCAGATGGTTGTTCAGAGAGATCAATAAGATCAAATATGGTGAATTGTTTTGAGGTGAAGATTTCAAGTTTCAGAAATAGTCCTTTCATACATTTCATGGTCATATGGGGAGTGTGGATCAGAATGGTGAGTGGGTGAATCATGGTATATGGGTTCTTTGTTGGAGAAGGAGAATTGAAGTAACCTACAGAGGATTAACGCTGACTTTCTTTATCAGCCCCATATTCTTCAGTTTTATGCATTGAAAGATTCTCCAATGCCAGGAGCCAGATCCTCTTTGTAATGATCATCTTTAATCAGAAACTTCACCAAACCACTTTCCACAAAAATGTCAATCAAAAGACATCCAAAGGGAATGTAATTTGGAATCTTCTTATTTGGATCATCTGTGGTTCTGGTCTTTCTGATGGTGTCTCTCAGATAGTAGAATAAAAGAGAAGGAAGACATATCTTCTGGTGAGCCATCAGATAATACAACATGTACTTCTGACGAGCATTGAAAAAAATCAGATGAGCTCGAAGATGGTCAAGGGTTGATACAACCCAAAACGATTTTGTACCAAACCCTAAGCTTATCATGCAAATCCTTACTCTTGTATTCAATCTTATCAGGAGATTAATTCTTGAAGATATATTTGTTGATAGTTTCCTTCAGAAACTTAGACTTTCTATCCATCCCATGGAACCTTTTTCCTCCCAGATGCATCATTCCAAGAAGATTTTCTATTGACTTCTCAATTATGATGATTCTTTGACCTAACACATGAGAAACCACATGCAGGTTATCACAGTCAGCTTGTTTTCAAAAATCTTTCACTAAAGCTTCATACATAGGACCGTGAAGCCTCATGAAATAATGTTCCCATCCTTGAGAATTCAATTCTTCCCTTAGGCCACAACCGTTGGAAGAGAGATTGTTGAAATTGACCAGATATTCATGAAGAATAGTCAAATCTTGTGGTTGAGTAATACAATGAACCTGAACAAGCTTCTTTGTAACGTGGGTTTCATCAATGATGGGTAGAGAGGATGAAGCAGTCACCATGAGAGTTGAAGAACTTGGTGGAACAGTTGATGATGAAGACCCATAAGTGTTCATTTCTTGTTCCAACTTATTCAAAAATTTAACAGCCTCTTGCTGTTGTGCGTTTATCATTGTTGAAGTTGTTGAAGAACTTGACGAAGAACTTAATGAACAGTTGAGAGAATGAGGGGTTTAGGGTTTCTAACAAAAGTGTGGAAGTGAAGTGAGGATGTGTGTGTTAGTGTATAATGTTTTTAGAAGAGAGAGAAAAACTCAAAAGAAAAACAAACATAATAATTAAGAGTAATAAACGAGTGTAATTATTATGAATTTATCAATTCTAAGAAAAAGCACACTACTTATGATATAACTTAAGTAGAGTGTAATGATTTAGAATAACCAGGGGTTACACACGTTAATAAATGCATCTAATTAGGTGACACTTTTTAATATCCTCAGAGTCTGGAAAATCAAAGGATTTCCATCTGATCAAAGATGTTTCTAACCAAGACATCTTCTGATGACTGAGGTTCTGAGTAAAAAGAAAATACTTTTTGTTTAAATTAGAATCTCATTTCTTCAAACTATGACTAAACATATCTGATTCTGATGAAATATTACTCTAGAAAAAATTCCATTTTCAAATGCTTTAGAATGAAAAGAAATCTAACTCCAGCTAAGGTTTTCTAAAGATATCAGCCCATTGATGGTTTGTATCTATGAATTTTAAAGATAAAATCGCTTTCTGAACATAATCTCTAATGAAATGATGTTTTATTTATATATTTTTATCCCTAGAATGTAAAATAGGATTTTTACTTAAACAAATAGCATTTGTGTTATCACAAAAGATAGGAATGTTACTCTCATAAATCTGATGGTCTTCTAGCTGATTCTTTATCCATAGCATCTGAGTATTGCACAGTGACACTGAGATGTACTCTGCCTCTTCTATTAAAAGTGAAACTGTTGATTTCCTCTTGCTTGACCATGAAATCAGATTCTTTCCACGAAATTGACAATTTCCAGAAGTACTCTCCCTCTCCCGTGTGTCTCCAGTGTAACCTGTATCACAAAAACCAGAAAGAGTGTACTCCGATGTTTTCTCATACATAAAGCCAAGGTTAGTTGTTTCTTTAAGACATCTTAGAATTATCTTAATAATAGTTAAGTGAGATTCCCTAGGATCAGATTGGAATATAGTTCTTAAATGGACGCTGAATAAAATATCAGGTCTGGAAGCAGTTAGATACAGAAGAGAGCCTATCATACCACAATACAACTTCTGACATACCTTTCCACTTAACAAATCTTTCTCTGTCCATCATGTTGAACTTCTTTGAAGCTATTTAGTATATTGACTCTGATGAAT